TAGGGAGATGTATACTTGAAAAATAACTTGGTGAGAAGAAGGAATAACAGTTGGACAGCCCAGTACTCACTTAGTATCCTAATGAAGTCTAAAGAAAAAAGAGTCCTCCAAGAGGGTAGGTGAACCTCCGATAAAGAGCTCATGGGAAGGAATGGACAGAAACACTTGATGAGCAGATATGAAGGGTTTGTGATCTGTTTTATTAGAGGAAATATCCAAATAGATAACAGGTGCACTTGAGGATTACCATAAGGCTGGGTTTGTAAGCAATCCACTGATAGATAGGCATGGGGAGATTCCAAGGTGCGGGATATTCTAGCTTCAGACTCTCAGAGAAGGACCAGGTTGCTCCGCACTAGTTGGGATCGCTGCAAAACCAAGTTGACAGATCCAATAATTATAACAGTTGGCGACTGCATAGATTTTACTCTACTGAACTGGCGGTTTTCTTGGTGTTGATGGCACGGCGGATGGAGCGCTGGGCCTGAAGTCAGGAAGACTCATCTCCCTGAGTTCAAATCTTGTTTCAGACATTTATTAGTTGTGTGACCTTAGCCAAGTGAGTCAACCCTTTTGCCACAGTTTCTCATCTATAAAATGAGCTAGAGGGGGAAATGACAAACCACTCCAGTATCTTTGCCGAGAAAACCCCAATGGGATCCTAAAGAGTCAGCCACGACCGAAATGACTGAATAACAAAAGCTCCCTTCTCTGATACAGATTATCCTCCATATTGTCTCATCCTATGCAGTTCTTGTCCATTCCTTCTCATAAGTCCTCCACACACATGGGAGACTATCCTCTTCTTTAAAAAAAGCAAACTTTTTTTTAGGATACCAGTGTATTCCAGTTCTATTTGTAGTTAATTGGTATCTATGTTTAAAATCTAAAAATGCAGTTGGTCTCCTTTCTCATAGGAAAAATAAAAAGTTTAGAGAATCACTTCTCTAATCCCCAGAGTATCAGGAACAATGAAGAATTCTTTTTAAAAAAATTTTTGAAGAAGAGCTTCCAGGCAAAAAGAAATAAGAAAAAAAATCTGAAAAAGCATAATGATATTTTGAGTTGTTTGTAATAGAAAAGGAAGGTGGAATCGTGTGACGCAGGAGAAGAGACTGACCATTAAAAAGAAAAACCCTTAGAGCTAAAGAATAATTAGCAGTGTCTTCTTCTAGTAAGGGGTAAGGTAATTGGATTTTCTGAAGAGAAAGCACCTGTTTTTCTTGCTGTGGATGCACAGGTGTTTACAGAAGAGAGATCGTCCTGTAAGGGACACCTCCTGCTGAGTCCTACCAAGGCAAAAATGGATAAAAGTCCATCCAACAAAAAGTCATCCAAAGAAAATGTCATCTGTTCTATTGTCCAGGATGTTCTCATTTCTTCTTCAAAGACAATAACTCCTACCAGACAGGTAGGTGACACAGTGGAGAGAGCTCTGGACCTGGCATCAGGAAGACCTGAGATCAAGTCCAGTCTCAGATACTTACTAGTTGTATGATCCTAGGAAAGTGACTTAACCTCTGTTTACCTCAGTTTCCTAATTTATAACAATGGGAATAATATCAACTTCTGCTTCCCAGGGTGGTTGTGAGTATCAAATGAGATAATATTTATAAAACACTTTGAAAACCTTAAAATGCTCCATAAATGCTAGCTATTATTATTATTATCATTATCTGATGCTATCTGCCCATCCTCAGCTATCCACACCTCTGTTGTAAAAGAGAAGAAGTTGGGAATGGGAGCTATCCATCAGTTACTGAGTGAAGAAACTACCTATTCCAATGTAGGTCAATGAATTCTACAACACAAAATTTTAGCTGCTTCTGAGATATTAAATAAATGACTTTTTCACAGTCATATGGCCTGTACATGTCAGAGTTGGTACTTGAACTCAGGTTTTTCCTTGCTTCAAGATTTGCTCTCTATCCACTTTACCATGCTGCCTCACAAGTGCAGTGAGTAAAAAAAGATTCGTAATATTTGTAACTTAGAAGGGATCTTGAAATCCAACTAGTCTAAGCCCCAGGTGATGAAATCTATCTAGAAGAATTTTAGTGACTTGCTATTACCTTCGTCCCCATGCCCCACTTTCTAGTGTACAGTATTAAGACTTGGAGCAACTCTGTGAACAACTTGTAGCTGATACTTACCCAAAGCATAATTGATAAGGTCTTTAAAATTGCCTATAAGTTTGTTGCATTGGGGAAAAAACCATACCCAACACTTCTTTCTCTTTCTCTGACCTTGGCCACATGAATTTTTCCTTGGCCATATGAATTGCGCCTCCCTCCTTCTCTTTCCCTGCTTTTACCCAAATTGGATAGAAACAGAAAGGAAGGCTTTGTTATTTTTGGATAATATAAAAGTCAAAAGGAGGAGGAGAATGGAAAGCTACCTCCCAATTTTTAAGTAAGTCCAAAGCTTTGCAAAGGTGATTTTTGTCAGAATTTTTCCATTGGAAAAGCAAAGGTTTCTAAGGCAGGCAGCTAATAGGGAGAGAAAACTCACTTCAAAGGCATTGGAAAGCCTGGAGATCTTTGAGTTTCGACAGTTGTCGGTTGGTTCTGGCAGAGCTGAGTCATGATTAGGAATGGAGACAAATTAAAGTGTGTGTGTGTGTGTGTGTGTGTGTGTGTGTGTGTGTGTGTGTGTGTATGCTGTCCCACTAATAGGGAAAGTTGACAGGTATGGTTATTTGTTCATTCTTAATACAGTGATGGAGGCAGCAGGTGGCAGCATCTCCCACTCAAAAATCTGTGGGCATTGAAGCAGGCTAATTAGTAGCAGGCAGTGGGCTGACATGCAGGCTTCCTTCTCTTTAAAGCTCTTCTGTGTCTGTGCTGGCCATTTCACTTTTCTGGAATGGTGGCCCATTAAGGTGGAGAGAAGCATAGTTTCCACCAGCTCAGGACAAAGAAAGTGCTTTCTAGCTCTACTCCAGCCCTGTTATGAAGACTAAACATGAAATTTGGTCCCTGCTTCCTCATCTGAGAACAGAATGGGGATCAGGGGATTTTAACCTGAGGCCTATGAACCTGTTTTTAAAAATATATATTTTGATAACCAGGGAATATAATTGGTTTCCTTTGCAATCCTATATATTTTGTTTCATGCATTTAAAAAAATTATTAAAAGCATTTAAAAGCAAGTGAAGTCCATAGACTTCATTTGACAAACATACATACACACATCAATAACCCCTAAATTAAATCATCTCTAAGGTACCATCCAAGTTTAACATTTTATGATTCTGTAAATCTATGTCATACAAGAAATGTATGATCAAAAAAGAAGATGGGTTGATAACATGGTAAGAGAGGGAGGGATAACATAAACATCCCATGTGCTCCACAAATATCTTAGAGATGCTAAGAGAAATTAAGGAAGATACCTGGTGTTTTGGGTTGATCTCCTGTAGTGAAATTATGAGAGGACTTGGAGAATTGTTGCACAGGATGGGCAGACATGGATAGTTTACAATCGATGTCATTAAGGACACAGAACCATTTGATCTTAAATATATAATCACTAAAATGTAAGCCACTTGAGGCTAGTAACTGTCTCATTTTTGTCTGCCAGCTCATGGCACAGTGTGTGAGACATGGGAGGCATTTAGTAAATGCTTATTCAGTGGATTGAATTGAATGACTATATAGAGAGAAATTTTGTCTTCAAAACTAATCTCTCTAGATCAAGGGGTTTTAATCCTTTTTTGTATCATAGATCCCTGGTGAAGCCTATGGACCTCTTTTCAGAATGTTTTTAAATGCATAAACTAAAATATATAGGATTACAAAGGAAATGAATTATATTGAAACCCATTTCTCAAAATATACAACAAGAATCAAGTTTGTGGGCCCTAAGTGAAGAGCCCTTAAGTCTAAATTAATATTCCTAGCACCCTTGTGCTGTCCAAGGTCCTAATTATTGTGGCACCTCATTCTGCCTTTCCAGAGCATCCATTTAGGATCCAGACTTTTTGCTACTTTCTCCCCTCCGGCAAAATTTACCCATCCTGTGACCCATTCCGTAGAGCCCGGCTCTCTCAGTAAGGGGAGTTTGGATAGTAATGGCTTAATCAGCTAATCTATTCAAAGTGTTAACTAGTTACTACTATTTGCTCTCTTGGCTCTCTGCCCTGCCAAGCAAACATAATGCCTTAACTTAACCCATTTAAAATTTATAGTTCCCTTAATGGATAAATCCACAGACATTTTGTGATATGGTTGAAACAGCACTGGAGTTGGAGTCAGAGGATTTGGGTTCAAATCTCTATCTCTGCCTCCTTTTTCCTTTCTCTCTCGTCCCTTTTACCCCTCCCCTACTTGTTATCAATATGACTCTTGGCAAAAAATCATTTTGCCTTCCTGGTCCCTGTTTTCTTCATCTATAAAATGAGAGAGTTGAACTAGATAACTTCCAAGGTGCCTTCCAGTTCTAAATCTACAAGCTTCTATTTAAGGATAGGCAAGGCCTTTTAGAATCCATGCAGGGCCAACTTGCCAGTATGACCTGGGGATAGACACATAAAGAATGTTGGAGGAAAGAAAAGGACCATGTTTTCTATTGACCATTCACCCATGAGAATAATATCAAATGTGATAATGTTTGTAAAGTGCTTCTCACCATACCTAGATACAGTAGGCACTTAATAAATGCTCATTCCTTTCCTTCCTCCCTTCCCCATAATATAAAAGTATATATGAAACAGTCTATTTCTCATAGAAGTATAAAGCCTGCTTGGGTATTGCCCTGCAGTGGAAGATGGAGGGTGGAGAAAATAACCATAATTTCCTATTATCTTCCCTTTCTTTTGTATTTTGTTTATTTTTGCAGCTAATTAGGGATAAGGGAATCCTTTCTTACACATTAGCTTGGCAATACAGAATTTAAATTTATGAAGCATCTCAAGCAATCTCTGATAATCTTATTCTTTTATCACCTTTAATCATGCAACATTGTTTAAAAGCTGTAATATTAAAACTCTTTCCCCCTAGATCAAGAACAGAAGATGCTTGGGTTTTTGCAAAGCCCAATGCAATTCAAGCAGTTGGCATTATGTCATTCGGTAAGTAACTCAGATCTTTGTTCAGCCCGTGAGCATCCGTACCGGGTAAAAGTACTTTGGTTCATTTTTAGATGTCTAGTACTTTAGTTTTCGTATCAGTGGCTTGTGAACCCTAGTAAAATTATGTATAAAACCTTCCCATTCATCATCAAAGTCTCTGTTTACACATAGATGAATCCCTTCCAAGGCCAATAATTCTTTTTTTTTTTTTTTTTTTAGGCAATTGGGGTTAAGTGATTTGCCCAGGGTCACACAGCTAGTAAGTGTCAAGTGTTTGCTCTAAGGCCAGATTTGAACTCAGGTACTCCTGACTTCAGGGCTGGTGCTCTATCCACTGTGCCACCTAGCTGCCCCTTATGGCCAATAATTCTATTATGACAATTATATTTCTTAGCTTGGTGTCATGATATTCTTCCACAGCTTTGGGTGATACTTGTTATTAGTTGCCTGGTATTCTAAAACTGCTCTATTATTTGGACCCAAGATTATCCAGGGAGACTGACAGGAAAAGGTATGAATTTCCAACTTTCCATCCAAGAGAATGGTTTTTATCAGAGATGGCGTGAGACTACCACATAGACCTGGTGTGAGTAGGGGGCTCTTTGTTACTAGAAGTGCAAAAGAGAGTTTCATTGGCCTAATTATAATTAGTTGATTTAGACTATCACTCTTTAGGCTTCTCCAGAGGCAAATATCTCTCAATCTTTTCTGGAATAAAGAAGAGAACCTGGGTCAAATATGGACTGTGTTATAATAATGTTCTCATTATTTTCTATCATAGCATTCATCTGCCACCATAACAGCTTCTTAGTTTATGGTTCTCTGGAGGAACCCACAGTGGCTAAGTGGTCTCAGGTCATTCATGTATCAGTCATGATTTCTGCATTTATCAGTGTGCTGTTTGCTACCACTGGTTATCTGACATTTACTGGCCACACACAAGGTACAGTGAGAGATTCAAGTTTATATTTCATTGTTCATCTGGCAGTATTTAACATTTTCTTATTTTTAATTTAACTCCTCCCCTCACATATCTCTCTGTCCATCCTCTCCTTCCATTCAGAAGTGTTAACTCCTCCATGCTGGTTGCCCAGGCTATGCTGCCTAAAACTCATCCTAACACTAAATTCATCCTATTTCCTCACAAATCTACCTCTCCTTGCTGCTTTGCACATTTTTCTCAGTAGTTTCACTATTCTGCAATAATGAATTACTCTTTGAAACCTCCCACATAACCCCTTTAGTCACCAAGGCCTGTTGCTTGTTCCTTCCCCAGCCTCTCTCTGTTTACTCATTTCCATCGCCACAGCCATCCCCCTAGTTAAGACCACAATTACTTCATGGCTAGCCTCTTAGCTGGCTTCTCTGTCCCTGGGTGACCTCACCTCCAATTCATGTTACACACTGTGGGCTTAATCTTCCTAAAACCCAGTTATCTTCATGTCAGTTCCCTGCTTAGAAACCTTAGATGGCTCCCATTGCCCACTGGATAAAAATCAGCTTCTCAGCTTTCTGTGCAATTCCCAAAATATTCTTTTAAACTTATGCCCCATCATCCTCCTCCATGAACCACTGGATAGGTCTATTTACTGTTCACCAAACACACCATACTCATTCTTATCCCTGTACCATTGCTCATGTCGATCACCTGATGGAAATAACTTTCACTTTTTTACTAACAATAGAAATGATGGGAACTGGACTGGACCTGTGATTTCATTGATAGCATGGAACTCCCAGATGAGAAAACTCCCTCTTTCAGTGCAAGTCAGCATTTTTGCTACAACTTAAAATCTGAGAGAGTTTCCTAGAGGTTAAGTGACTTGCCCATGGTCACATAGCCAGCATGTGTCAGAGGTGGGATTTGAACTCAGGTCCTCCTGGCTTTGAGGCCAGCTCTCTATCTGCTATACCACACTAACTTCATAAGAATAAGAGTTAAATAGAAAAAGAACAAAGCTACAACATATCAAAAACACAAGCTAGTTTTATTTGTAATTCAACCATGACAATCTCAGAACCATCATCACCACTCTTAAATTGCAGCTCTCCTGGCACCCACTAAGAATTCTGCTACAAGTATGTTTAAGATCCCAGAATCTGAATTTCAGAACAGGACGGAAATGCAAAGGCCCATCCATTCCTGAGAAAAGAATCCCTTTATCACATGGCCAACAATGAATAGCCAGCCTTTGTTTGAAGGCATCCAGGGAGGAGTAACTCACTACCACCAGAGGAAGCCTATTCCACTTTTGGGAATTCTCCTCCAATTGTCAAGACCTGTCGTGGAATCTAAATGTGCCTCTTTATGGCTTGCGTCCATGGGTCATGATGATTCTGTCTCTGGGGCCAAATGGAACAAATCTAAGCCCTCTACCCCACGAAAGCTTTTCAATGTCTGAAGGAAGCTATCATGACTGGAATTAGAGGAATCATACAATACATTCATAAGCAGGTTTGGCATTTGAAAGAAAAAATTCAGAGGTTGTTTTCCCTTCTTTTCCTTTTGGAATAATTGAATAGGGTATGTGACTTTAATCTAGCTTTCCATCTGGGTTGATTGAAACAAGGTGGCCAAATAATTTAAAAGCAGGAAAAACACTTTATGTTGAAAAGGACAGGCCCTAAATAACTATTCTTTTATCATTCCCCTCCCCTTTCCTGCCTCTTTCTCTGCATCCTCTTCTCTAAATTGTTCAGAGGTGATAATGCTGTCTCTTGAAAATGCCTATTTTGATGGAGATGTAAAGTCACTAATGCAGTTTTTTAAAGATATAGTTACTCTGCCATTTCTCTTTGTCCTGATTCCCTATAATGTTGTCTATGGAAGCTTGCATCTAATTTTTTTCTGTTAACAATAAATGGACCAAGAGCTCCTAAATGCCAAGAAGGATAATGTCTGAAATTCCTCCCCATGGTACAGAGACTATGCTTAGATCTTGTAATGTACTATTCAGGAAATGCACATCTCCAGATGTCCGTCTCTCTACTTCCTTTGGGAACTGTCCTTGTTCTGAGAATAACACTTCAAAAGAAAACTTGTTTATTTTAACCAGAAATTTTTCTTTCTATTATTAATTGAATAATCAGACACAATGAGCATGAGGATATTTTGTTAAGCTAATTCCAGTTTTCCAATATAGTTTTTTTCCCTCTTTTTAAATTAAATTTTATTTTCAATTAACAAATATTTATTTTCTTTCCTCCCCCCAGGAAAAAAGAAACAACCCTTGTAACAAATAGGCCTACTCCGGCAAAACAAATTCTCATATTGACCATAAATGTTTCTCATGCTGCATGTTTAATCTGTCATCTCTCTGTTAGGAAGTGAGTAGCATTCTTTATCACTGGACTTCTGAAGTCACAGTGGGTCATTGCATTGATCAGACAACCCACCAATCACCTCCTAAAAGAAGACCCAAAATGAAAACTTTAAGGAATGTCATGGTCAAAACCTAGAGCTCCCCAAATCCAGAGCTCCTAAGTCAAAGGAAAAATATTGAAAAAAAAGAAAAAGAAAAATATTGCAAGCAGGCAGAAACACTTCCAAGACAGCTTTCAAAAGTAATTTGTAGTTAGGCCACCAAAAATAAGAGGTAAGAACAAGAAAAGGCTATCCCCCCGATAACTAGCTATCACTAATATTTTTAATTTTTCAATTATCAGGCATTTTCCTACCTTCTGCCTGCCCTAAACCCCTGGGAGAAAAAATTTTAAAACGTTTGTATCACGATAAGCATCGTCAAACAAAACAAATTCCCACGTTGACCTTGTCCAAAAATGCATGTCTCATCCTTGTCATTTCTCTGTCATGAAGTGGGCATTATTCTTAATCACCAGTCCTCTAGAATCATGTTGATCACTGTATCAGAATTCTTAAGTCTTCCAAAATTGTTCATTTATTACAATATTGATGTTTTAGAATAATTTGTTCTTCTGATTCTGCTCATTTCATTCTGTATCAGTTCATCCAAATCTTCTCAGGTTTATTGAGTTATTAAATACTTCAATTTTATGTTATTCCCCAGGAGATTTGTTTGAAAATTATTGCAGAAATGATGACCTAGTTAACTTTGGAAGATTTTGTTACGGAATCACTGTCATTTTGACTTATCCAATTGAATGTTTCGTGACCAGAGAGGTGAGCATTTGCAATTCATTTTCCAAGTATAGGTTTTGCACATGTTGTTTCTTTCTTGACTTGATATTAGAATAGTTTTTTTGTAAACATATCTATTCAAGACAGGTTCTACCACTCATTATATTTCCTTTTAACTACTCAGCAGCAGGATTTAAAGAAAAGTTTTCATTCTTGAGCTGAATTCTAAAGCTGAAAGGGACCTTAAATATCATCTGAGCCACCTCTATCATTTCATAGAGGAAGATACTGAAGAGTGAAAGATTAAATAGCTTTTTACTAGCTAATTAGTAACAGGATTGGAACTAGACTTGACACTCTGACTCCCAGAGCAATGCTCACTCCGCTACCCGTCCAGTACTGCTGCCCATTCAGAGGTTTATGAGAAACTTTAACAGACAGAATTTGTAAATCATGGTTAGGCTTGAGTTTATCTTAACATAAGGTCAAATATTTATATAAGTGCATTCCATGGTTTTTCCTGGCATTTGGTACAGCCAAACCGAACTTTAAAAAACAAAACCCATATCCAAACTTTTTTTCATGACTTTTGCTACTTAAATTTTTTTTCCCCACAGTCAACTCTATTTAAGCACAGAAGTAACATGGGATATATTTCCCCTCAGTAGAATTAGTTTATATATATGTGTATATATACATATATATATACATACATACATACATATATATATATCATACACACACACACACACACACAGAGAAATATTTTGTTTTTCCTTTAATCCCTACATTTCAATTTTATATCTTTAGCTTTGCCCCCACAAGAATGCATGTACATTTACATTTCATTGATATCTCCTTCTTTAACCTCTGATGGCAACCACTGCGAAATCCCATCCAACTGGATTTGTGAAATCAAGGGAGATCTATATTAAGATGAGGGGGTGCTAGAGAGTAAAGGAAGTGTTTTGATTCTTGCCGTACCAAAGTGAGAAAATGTGGCTTTCAGTTGTTCCATCATGCAGTCCATTAAAAATCCTTTTGCATCCATTTGTAGTTTAATATTTTAAATTTTAAATTTAAATAGTTCAGAAGTCACACTGGGAAGGCCCCTAGACTTAGAAGCCTAGTCCTAGAGATTATTTACACAGTCTAGGGTGAATAGGTTTAATATATTAAATGAACAGCCTGAAACTTAAACAGAACCTTCAACTTAACATGCTCTAAAAGGCAAGAAGATATTTGGCGGGGGGGAGGAAGGGTAGAGAGGTTTGGTCCAGACCTGTAAGTTTATCTTTAAAAGAGGTGATTCTAGGCATGGAAATTCCCCCAAACTGTGTAGATTGGCAAGTTTCCCAGGGTCTCATATGTTCAAGAGACATACCTTGAGAGTCAGGTATGACCCTCTGTCCACTATATCATCCTGCTTCTCAGACGGACACCTACCTAGTGCCAGTCACGGGCCAGGGACGTCTTGAATATATAATTGAAAACACTCCTTACTCTCTTTTTGCTTCATTTCATTTTCCAATTAAGCATTCTCTCCTTCTCACTCTTCACAGCTATCTTAAAAGAAAAAGAAAATACTTGTAACAAAAGGCATGGTCAAGCAAAGCAAATATCTCCATTGTCAATGTCCAAAAATGGTTATCTCATTCTTTATCCTATGTCTATCTCATCTCCTTCTGGGAGGTGGGTATCATAGATCTTCCAGAATTGTGGTTAGTCATTGCATTGATCGGATATCGTCTTTCAAAGTCGTCTGTCTTTACAATATTATTGTTATTATGTATTTGGTCTCCTGGTTATTATTACTTCACTTTGCATGAGTTTATACAAATTTTCCAGGCTTCTCTGAACCCATCCTTTTCATCATTTTTTTACAGCATTCATACACTAATTTGTATAACCATTCCCCAGATGATGGGAACTCTCTTACTTCGTTTTCAATTCTGTGCCTTTAGAAAAAGAGCTATCCTAAACATTTTTTATATACATAGATCCTTTTCCTCTTTCTTTGATCTCTTTGGGATTTAGGCCTATGAGATATATCACTGGATCAATGGGTATGCACATTTTAGGGACTTTTTGTATGTCATGCTGAATTGGTTTCCAAAATAACTAGACTAATTCACAGATTTCATTCTTTATATATACTAATTAGTGGGGTTTTTTGTGAGGTTGTGAATACTGCAACTCCGAGGCTTAAGTGTGGCTTCTTGTTTCTGTGATAGAAGAAGAAAGAGCTAAAGGTTGATTTTGAATCTTCTGTTTTAATTTTTCTCCAACCTTATCTCAAGTCCAAATCTGGTTTTTAGATCAGAACTGATGCAATGTGCACACCTTGTTTAATTGTGGGTGCTAAGCATTAATTGTTCAAAAATCACTCCACCTTCAAATTTGCATCTTTCAGTACTTAGAACTGAACATTTGTCATTGTTTGTGTGTGTGTGTGTGTGTGTGTGTGTGTGTGTGTGTGTGTGTGTGTGTTTCCAAGTGCCATGACCTGGAAAAGTAATAAAATTAAAAACTTTGCTATGGGAATAGTAATTAAATAAAAGATATCTTCATTTATTTCTCCCTCACCTTTCCTCTTTCTTTTTATTCTTGCTTCCATGCATACGCAAGCAAATACAGATACACACACACACACACGCACACACACACACCATGTGGTATAAGATCAACAAGGATTATTCAGAGGCAGAGTAGAGAGCATACAGGGTATTATTTGAGCATTGCCAAAATATCCATGAGCCCTAAAATAACTCCTTTACCACTGTTACAGTTTTGAACTTCCTGTCAGTATAATTATTCCTTAAAGGCCTTCCAGGGATGTATGTTTTAATTCGCTTAAGGCATTATGTAGGTTTTTTGTTTGGTTTGGTTCAGAACAGGCCAATGACTTCATCTACTTGGGGGACTCACGTTGTGGAAACTGTCTACTGGTACAAGTTGGAAACCCATAAACAACTTAGAGCCCTAAGCAATTGCCTGGATCACTGAGAGATTGTGATTTTCCTGGAGTTATTTAGTCAACAAGCATCATAGGTAGGACTTGAGCTTGATTTCAAGGCCTTTTATCCATGAGACCATGCTACAATATATCATTTGGGAGAAATGACTTACCTAGAAAACACAGGAAAAATTATTGGCTTCTTTCAAGCATTCTACAATCTAATACCAATTCAACTTTTCCACCATTGTCATTCTTTATGTATTCAATTCAACAATAATTTATTATGTACCTTCCATGAAACACTGTGCTGGGCCCTGGACATACAAAGAAAAAAATGAAACAGTCCCAACCCCGTAGAACTTTACGTGCTACTGAGTGGGTTACGAAAGGCAAACAAAGATGAATACAAGCCAATTTGAGGAGGGAAAGCATACTAGCAAGTAGGAGTACCAAGGAAAGCTTCATGGAAAGGTCACACTACCTGACGTTGAACGAAACTAAGAATTCTGAGAAGCACAAGTATGGAGGGGGCACATTTGAAGAATAAGGGAAAGCCTATGTAAAAGCATAAATAGATAAGGTTAGAAGAATAATTAGTAGGCCAGTGTGGCTGAAGCACTGACTACATGAAGGACAGTAATGGGAAATATGGCTCAAAAAGGTAGATAGTGGTCAGATTGGGATGGGCATTAAACGAAAGCCTAAGGAGTTCCAAAAATATGTCCTTATCTGTAAAGTAAGGAGCTTGGACTAGATGACTCTGACAATCTAGATTAATGATATTTAGATCAAGATCTCCAATGATTTTGGATCTAAATGGTCATCTGACTAGATGATGCCTTCCAGCCATGGGAATTGACTAGTTTTAGGATCCAGCTTTCTCCCAGTACATTCACCAACCTTTTTTTGTATCCTGTATCCATTGTACATATAGCACGGTCATTCATGACTCCAAGACTTTGTTCATGCTCTTCTTACCTTACTGGAATGCCTTCCAACAACACAGAAGCCCATTCATTTCAAATATGAGCTCAAGTTCAACCTTCTCCACAAAGGCTTTTGTGACTACTCCAGTTCACACAGTATTACTAGGTAGTAAGCTCTCTGTCACTTAAAGTATTCAAGAAGGGTCTCTATAAGCACTTGCTGATAGAGTATTTCTGTACAATAAGAGACTAGGTTACTTCAAAGGTTTGCTTGCAATTGTAAATTATGGTATTCTGTAAACTCTATCCATGAATTCCTAGTATCCTGAGTCAGTACCAGAGAGTCAGTCAGTGAAATAGCATTTATTAAGTGCCTCCTACAGACAGGCACTGTGCTAATGATGTTAGTACTTTAATGTTAGTTTCGTACTGTTTGTTTTATTTTCCAAGATTGATTGCAAGCTCTTAAGAGCAAGGATTTCATACTTAATACATCTATTCCCAACAGTGTCTAACACAGTGTGGCATAAATAGTAAGTGATCAATAAATGCTTGTTGATTGAGTTGATTATTCTCTAAAGAATAATGATTGATTCCTCTCTATCCTCACTGAGAAAAGGACAAGAGAAAACAGACTTTAACTGCAAGAGGGAATTTAGATGAAAACAAAGCAGCAATGGCTCACTGAGCAAAGTTGTGAAATCTCCTTCCTTAGAAACCTTTCAAATAAACAGCCATCTGTCTAGTTTATTTTAGCTGTGACCTCTATGTATTCAGGGAAAAGGAATAAGATAGGTCCTTAAGGACTTTTCCATCACAAGTATAGTTTATATCTTATCCTAATGCTGGTATTCAATTGTCTGTTTGTCTGCAATGTTTTATTTCCAGAGCACAAAATGTGATAATTAGCATTACTGATCATGTCAAGGGTGTGTTTTGGAAAGAATAGAGACATTAGTATTAAGTTTTGTTTTTGACTTTAAAGGTTTTAAATATGGGCGTGTGCATTCATATACGTATATATACATACATAATGTTGGTATATATTGTCTAGTAGTATAGTACTAAAAATATCCTATCCAGCAGTTGCTTACAATTAATGTTTTTTTCTGGGAAAGTATTACATGAAAGCATTGTTTGTTAGGAAGTGACTGATGTGTCAAAAAACTGTGTATAAAGAAAAAAATACATAAACATGAAATGGACACTCAATTTTCTAAATCTTATCTTTTTTGACAGGTAATTGCCAATGTTTTCTTTGGTGGGAACCTTTCACAAATTTCCCATGTTTTGGTGACAACAGTCATCATTACTATGGCCACACTAGTGTCATTGACGGTTGATTGCCTCGGGATCGTGCTGGAGTTCAATGTAAGTGTAATTAAATTATTTCCTTCTTCCATTCTGAAGAACAGAACAGCATTACATTCAGCAAAGGAAGTGTTATCCTTAACGAGACATGTTTCCAAATGACAATAAAACACATTCTGAAATATATATTGATTCCATGATTAATGATGTATAATATTTGTAGTGCTTCTTGTATGCTATTAAAGTATAATCTTACAGATTTTGAATGCTTTACCAAGCAAAGACATATTCAGAGAGACTTACTTATCCCTCATATTCAGTCAGTTGCCAAATTGTGTCTTTCTACTTCCAGAACATCTTTCTGCTCAAACAGATACTACCCTAGTTCAATCCCCTCTAACCTGGACTTTTGCAAGAGCCTCTGCATTTATTTCCTTGCCTCATGACTCTCCTCTCTCGAATGTGTCCTCCGCTAAGTTACTAAAGTCATTTTCCTAAAGTTACACATCTGATCATGTCTCTCCCTTACTTAGCAGATTCCAGTGTCTCTTTCTTGCCTCTAGGACCAAAGATAAGCTCCTCTGTTTACACCTTTTAAAGGTCTTTACAACTTGATTCCAACCTACTTCTCCAAACTAATATTTTTATGTACATATTGTAGAATGTAAGTTCCTTGAGGGCAGGAACTACTACATTTTTTTCTCTGTATCCCTAATTCCTACACATCATGAGTGCTTAATATAATGTTTGTTGATGGATTGATTTCCATGCATGTGAAAGATAATTATCTAAGGGGCAGCTAGGTGGAGCAGTGGATAGAGCACCAGCCTTGGAGTTAGGAGGACTTGAGTTCAAATGTAGCCTCAGACACTTGACACTTACTAACTGTGTGATCCTGGGTAAGTCACTTAACTCCATTGCCTAGCCAAAAAAAAAAAAGATTATCATCTATCCATATCATAGATCTGGCTGTCATCAAGCCTTGACCATTCTTCCTATAAAACTTTTCTTTCTTTGTAAACCTAGAAGTAGTACATAAATTCAATTTATTCTTAACATTAATTCTTTTCTTTTCAGTCTAACTGTTACCACCTTAATTCAAGATCCTCACCACCATGTGTCTGGATTGTTTTAACAAGAACCTTCCAGCTACTCTCCTTGACTCTGGGTTATTCTCTTCTAATCTATTCAACATGCTACCACCATTTTAATCTTTCTTAATCACTACTTTCATCATGCCACTCTATTACTCAAAAACCTTATTTTCTATTCCATTAAAGCTAAATCCCTCAATTACAATCCATCTCAACCCACTTCATACTCCCAGAGCCTAAAACAAAGACAAAAGAGAACATTCCCTCCTCTGAAGATGTTTACGTGTTCTGAGGATACCACAGGTACACAGAAAAGTATGATATATTGTGGAGAGTGAAGGGACAAAAGAGAGATCAGACAAAGTGTTCTAGGAAAATTTGATGAGGAAAGGAATGCAAATAGCAGGCAAGCATCAGAGGAGATGATGCCTTAGCTGAGAATTGGATGAGGATTTGGAATCTGGAAAATAGCATTTCATTCATTCATTTCATATTTAACAAGGGCCTCCTATGCGCCAGGCACTGGGTTAGGCACTAGGAATACAAAGAGAAAAACAAATGAAACAACCCCTGCCCTCAAGATGCCTAAATTCTAATTGGGCAAAGCACAGATACAGATAAGTAAATAGAAAATACATACAAAGTTAACACAAAGTAATTTTGGAAGGAGGGCATTAACAATTGAGAGGACCAGAAGAGGCCCTGAGTGGAAGGTGGCATGATCTGGACCATGAAGAAAGCTAGGGATTTCTAGAGACAAAAGTGAGCATTCTAGGCATGAGGACCAGCCCATGCAAAGGTACAGAGAGAGGAGATAGAATGTCATGTATAGAGAATAACAAGTTGATGAGTAGAGTATATGATACTGGTACCATATTTTCTCACAGCTATTGAGGCAGCTAGGTGGCACAGTGGATAGAGTACTAGCCCTGGAGTCAGGAGGACCTGAGTTCAAATCTGGCATCAGACACTTGACACTTACTAGTTATGTGACCCTGGGCAAGTCACTTAAACCCTGACTGCCTTGAGGAAAATTTATTATTCACAGACAATAGCATATTACATGTATGTACTTGTAATATTTATATTATAGTGATACGTCTTCCCATTATGTGCCATCTGGGGTCAAAAATCACAGAAAATTCATTGGAGTGCTGGGCATGAAAGATTATCCTATGCAAATTCATGACAGTAGAAAATGAAAAGCAGAGTTTAGGGACCAGCTAATAGTCCAGTCTGACCAGGACATATAGAATATGTAAAGAGGAATAACATGAAAAGGCTAAAAGTCTAGACTGGATCCAACTTGTGTAAGGCCCTAAATGCCAAGCTAATGGGTTTGCTCTCCATCCTACAGGCAATAGTGATATGATGAAAGTTTCTTATCAGGGTAATGGCCCAGTCCAACCCATGCTTTAGAAAATTTCTTTTGGCATCTGTGAAAGATAGATTGGACAAAGGAGGGCCTGAAGGGAAGGAGAACAATTTAAGAGCTATTACACTAATCCAAGTATTGTAATGATAAAATAACAAGAGCATAAACTTGGGTGTTGGTAGCATGAGTAAAGAGAAGAGGTCACAGTGGAAGATGTTATAGAGGCTGAATCTAAAACACCTGACAATGACTTCGACATTGGGCACTATTGATCCAAATCATAATCCTGCTTCAAGGCCCACTTCAAGTTGTCTTCCTCTATAAAGGAAGACTGGCTACTGTAGTCCTTGTGAATCCTCACTGTCCTTCTCTGAACTTATATCACCCTTTTATCTCTACTGCAAAACTTAACATGTCCTCATTTTATACTATCAAGTTCAGAACCTTTTAGGGGTAGTGTGGAATCACAGAATCTCAGAACTAGAATGACCTCAGAAGCTTATCTCATCTTTTTTTTTAAAAGGAGTATTTTGCTGTTGTTATTGTTGTTTTGTTTTTAATTTGGTTAGCCAATGGGGTTAAGTGACTTGCCCAGGGTCACAGTACTAGAAAGTGTTACGTGTCTGAGGCCGGATTTGAACTCAGGTCCTCCAGAATCCAGGGCCGGTGCTCTATCCATTGCGCCACCTAGCTGCACCAAAGCTTATCTCATCTACTCACACTAAAACAGGAATCTCCTCTATGGTTCCCTAGACAAGCGGTTCTCCAACCTCTGCTTAAAAATAAGTGATGAGGGAACCCACTGCCTCCCCAAAGAACCCATGCCATTTTTAAGTAATGCTACTTCTTTGTAATTTTTTTTTACCTGCCTTTTTGGTATAAATGGAAAGACCATTGACTCTGTGGTCAGAGGGTCTGGGTTCAAACCCTGCCTCTAACATTTCCTACCTGTATGACCTTAGGCAAAGCAATCACTTAAACTTGAAGGCATTGGATTGGAAGGTCTCTGAGATCCCTTCCTATGTTTTTTTTTTTTTTAAGGATATAGCAGGATGTAGTCATGAGGGCACTGGACTTGGAGTTAAGAAGACCTAGATTAAAATCCCACCTCAGCCCAACTGGCTAAGTGATAGTAAGCAAGTCCTTTAGCCTCTATGTGGCTCAATTTCTTCCTCTGCAAAACAAGGATATTGGCTTTGGTGGCCTCTATGCTCCTTTCTAGCTTTAAATATATGATCCTATGATCCCTCCATAGAAACTGAAATCTACTTCTGCAACTCCCACCCACTACTCCCAGATCTACTATCTGGAACTAAGCAGCATGAATCTAATCTCCCTTCTATATGACAGCCCTTTAACCATTCGACAACAGGAATCAGGTCCCACCCCACCCCAAGTAGGAGTAACTAAACAGCCCCAGTTCCTTTAGCAGATCTTCTGTTATAGGCTCTCTTGATGTAGCCTAAGATTGCGTTAACTTTTCTGGTTGCCATGATCCATGCTGACTCATGTTGAGCTTATAGTAGGCCAAATCCCATTTATCTTTTTCATACAAACTGCTGTCAAGTCAAACCATTCCTATCTTGTATTTGTGAAGCCAATTTCTGGACCCATATCTTGGCATTTCCATATTCCTATTAAATTTCAGCATTTTGACAAAGATGGGTTGGCTCTTTGGAATCACCATTTCCCATTGCAAATGCCTAGAAACCATCCCTTAATAATATGTTCTAGAAGTTTGCCAAGGATTAACATCAGGCTTACTAACCTAGAGTTTACAAAATCCATTATCTTCTCTGTTTTAAAAAATCAGTACAGCATTTGCCCTTCTTAAGTCCTAAGGCAATGATCTCACTCTCCATAGTTTTTCAAAGGTATTGACAGTAACACACACTGTCTCATTTACCAGTTCTTTTGAAATACTGGGTTCTAGTTTATGAAGGCCCCTTGATTTACCAGACAGACATTAACCCACCTTCTCCAGTTCTCAAATATGGAAGGGAAGAGAGCATACAGGCCACATATCATATCTCCAAGCTATGGAATGAGGGCAACTTGATAGACCGACACATGAATAGTTAGGGACATAATAGGAGAGCATGCCCCCAAGAATAGTATTCAGGGCAATAGAGCAACCTTACAGAGCAACAGAGTGAACTATTCCCATCCATTAGCTGTACTCTTTATAAATTCGGTAAGGACCTATGGGAGCCAAGAGAGTGAGGCAAGACACCATGTTGAAGAAAAGGGTACTGATGGGAGGGGATAAGTGCCAAAGACACACTCATATGCCTGCTCCAAAATTTTGTCTCTCTCTAACTGCATCACTACAAGTCATTTTATATGCCAGTTTTGCTTATCCCTGATATTGTGTCTTGTATTTTGCTTGACACATAGTAATGCTTAATAAATCCACATTGACTCTTTGTTTTCTGTTAGTTGTGTTTGTGCAATTCAACTGCAAACTCCTTGAGAGGAGAATCTGATATATGTTATACTTTCTCTGTATCTCTCACACAAACTAGTGGAGAAATTAGCACATAGTATGAATAATTCTCTACTACTCTTCAGAAGAGAACATAGACCAGGAA